AATCTGTGGCCGAGACGACGTATGGAAGCATATGAGTGGTTGAGGGGAGACCAGAGAGAGGTTCGAAATAATTCCAAATCCGCCACGCAAACACTAACACCACCTTTACCTGCCTGTGTATGATAGTTGCTCTCTTCTTTGTACCTGATAGCTCGTGATTTCTCTGGTCTTCTTTTTATAGAAGCTTGTCCCGGATCACCTTGATCGTGTCCTCCCATATTTTTCCTAGCTGGGTCTGTGTGAGGATGGCAGCTTGCGAAGTTGTACTCTGGTGAGAAAAGCTTCATGCACGATGATGACATGGCCAAGCTCCAGGGGCCAACGCCCAGGCGCGGAGGGGCGCACGGCGAAAGCGGCGCGAACGGGCTTGGAGCGGCTTTCCCGGGGGGGTTTTTTTTTGTTCACTTGGGGGACTTGCTAACCGCTCTGGGATGGGGGAAAAACGTCGTCCGTTTGGATTTCCTATTTGGACAAAGGAGCAAACTTTGAAACGATAAAATAATATAACCCAGGCTTGATTCGACTCAGGCCTAGCTTCTCTTTTCGAAACCCGCCCTAGGGCGTGTAGTGCGTCTCTTGACGTTGTCTGTCATGCACACTCTGGGTATTTTTTGTTCTTTTTTTGCCTATCCTTTGCCTGTCGTTGCTTGTACAGTTAACGCGTGCCCGCCCAACATCCAATGTGTCCTTCTTTACCGGCCGACAGTGGCTTTGGCCTGGGTGGGCTCTCTCTATTATGAAGACGTCACACATCCGGCCTCTCTCCCCATGTGGTTTGTCTTTTTGGATTCGGATGACCAACCGCTGCGCAATGGGGTTTCCCGACCGACTGGCTGACCTGGTACCTGAAAAAATCAGGTCGGTCGGTGGGTAGGAGGTTACCAAGCATAGCAAACCGCCGATTCCTCACTAACCTACTAGTTTCCTGCAGGCGGCTCTCCCCGGTGCTCGCCCTCAGATACTGCGATTATCCCTTCCACCACGCGCGCGCCAAGATCGAACGCCTCAAATTCGAACGTCGTCTAAACAAAGATGGACAAGATATGTTTTGGGGGGAGTTTAGAGAAAGCTCTCTCACGCCATCCTATGAGCTACAGGCCCTGCATAACATCTTCTCGCCATGGGTTGTCACTTTATCCGACTTTGTGTGTACGCGCGCGCCCCTCCGACGCATGTGTGTTCGGCCACCCCGAGACTTGCCCCCGCCCCCTCCTCAAGTCAGATTTTCGCCCGGTCCTCGGCGGTGCAACATGAGCTGGACTCCGCCTTGAATGATCGGGTATTACGCCGAGGCTAAGGAGCAGTTCCCCCCACCCCCGCTCACCTGCCTTGCCTTTTGTGTTGGGTGTCGATTCTCACACACGGTATCGGGGCGTCGGTTCGAACACGGGAACCCCCCATCCCATGGCGTGGCTGGTAGACGTGATGACGTGGGAAGAAACGAGGTTCTCAGATCAGCCTCGCGGAGGTTGCTAGGCTTTCTTCCACCGTCCCGATGACCTCCCCCACCCAGACGTGCAAAGACGGCGCGTGTGGGTACACAAGCCGACCTACATACATTGGATGGACACCTACCATCGAACGCCGGCGGGATCAGGAAAAGTCGTGGGACTCGAGCCGGGAGCAGCGGAACATGTGCCCATCTTCACCCACATTACAAGGCTCGAGGGTGGTGCCATAACCTGCGGCGCAGGCTGTCTGTCTCCCATCGAGGCCGCCCTCAAAGCTGTGTGCCCTGGGAGCCTCGGCTGCTAATGGGGGTGTAATCTGGTCCTAGGATAAGGGGAGGGCAGCCGTTTTAATGGCCGGATCGAAACGGAGATGCGAAGCATTCTGCAAAAAAAAAAAAAAAAAAAAAAAAGGGTACGGCCTCGTCCAGCCCCTTGTCAACCCAAAAATCTTCTTGCCACTCCCTCGACCTGCCTTTTTTTCTTCTTCTTTCTTTCCTGGAGTCTCCCGGGTGAGATGGAACTGAGCTTTGGTGAAGCCTCTGGCGCCGCAACGCCCCCGATCGTCGCAGACAAATACCATAGATATTACCCAGCCGTGTGTCACGCAGCAGTGCTGCTTCCAACCAGGGCTCTGACGATCTGGGGGCCTGCGCGCATCATCTCAGCTGACCGTCAGCGTAAGCGAGGCGTTAAGATCCCTCCTGCTTTTTTTTTTCGTTCTTGTGTATCCAAGAGGGGGGACCGAGGCTGGAGGGTTCGCTCTTGGGAGGGGCCGGGTGAGTTCGTGTCCTTGCATCACTTTCTGGGGTTGGCCTTTCGCGCACCCGGGGGCTGGGTTGCACAACCATAGCAACAGCAAACGCTCGTTGCTTGCACAGTCGGAACCTGGAAAGAGGCCGTGGCAAGACCGTCACGTCGACCCAAAATAACTCCTC